GGGGAGGGGGGTCGTAAAAAATTTTTCGAAAAGTAACAACGATAGGACAGACCCTGGGGGGGCCACGCGGCGGCGCGGCAGTCTGCTCACCTGGGCTCTCTCGAGCGAGACAGTGTAAACTCGAACATTCCAGCTTTTCACGCATGTCAAGTGACTGCCCCCACCCCCCACCCCCCTAGACTGCCTACACTCCCCCTGGCCCACGGATTTCCGAACATGCCAGGCGAGCAGACTGCCGCGCCGCCGCGTGCCCCCCCCCCAACTAAGTTAGCACCCCTTTCTTCAAGCATGCTTTTAATGTTGAATGTCACACACAACACACTAACGAGTACGCAGAAATAACTTGGAGTGCACATACCTGACCGGAAAAGTACAACATCCCCAAGAATCCACATGTGTCAACCTACCTAGCCTCGATGAAACAAAGCAATGCAGCTAGCATCTTTACAACTTTTGGGCCGTATGCTATCCTCCCCGAAGGGGTTAGGGGACGAAAATTCCTTTAAATTTTCTCTGTCTTCCCAACTGGGATTACCCTGATAAAAGGCCTACATTAAATGTATGTATGTAGGTAAAAGTAAACATGCATTGAAAATGAAGAAACTACATCGTTCAAAGCAAATAAATTTAAAGGAAACTTTGGGTCACCTAGCTTCGGGGAAGAACTTAACGGCATAATAGACATTGCCGGACAGTAAGCGGTCGCGTCGCGGCCTTCGCCCTGGAGCGCGTCATGCCTGTACCCAATCATGCCTGTACCGAAGAGGCTTTCGCAAGACGTCCCTCACAGTGTGAACTATGCGATCAACGCACTGCTTGTAGAGTAAGGTGCGCAAATTTGGTTCCTATTGGTGGTCTCTGTGGCTTGAGGGGGAGGGGGAGGCAGCATTTAACATTGGGTGAGGATTACGGAAAAACGCTCAATTTCAGGACTAAGGCTCGGACAGGATTCCGTGTGCGAAAGCAATCTGCGTATTCCTCTGAAATCGTTCCTGCAGCCTAGGCTAGTCCTAGAGGCCTTTTTGCAGAGTGCCCCCTCCTCCCTCCAGCCACGAGACACAATGCGACGAAAACTCCCATCCTAAGACTCAGTTGTTGCTGGGAAATTAAACAATTCAGAACATAGTCATTCATTGTACAAGCTGTCCTAAACCTTATCAATACGAACAGAATTCAAATCCCACTCACCATTAGTAACCAGTCAGTTATGCTTTGTAACACAATAAGCCTTTGAAAACATGATGTACTTTTTGACAGAAATTACAGCTGGAAATAACAAGTCTGAGAAAGCCAAGGGCTCATATATTCATGACATTTCGGTGAACGATTCCTCCCTCTTTGCTTCAATGAGGTGTGATCCTCATTTTTTTTCCACAGCAGCTATTGTCGTGTCTTTCTTCGATTTTCGTTGTCGTACGTGGTGACTTCTTTTCGAACGAATTTAAATCCAAGTACGAAGCAATAAATTCGAAACGCAAAGGGACAAATGATGCGACAACGACTTATATTTCATCTTATACATAAATCAACTATGTCCTACGATATATGCTACCATATACCCCATTAGGTTTGCTACAAGTTTTCGCTCTCCGTTTGCGATACAGTTATTCATAAACTAAAGTTCTTTTTATTCCGTTACGTCTGAATGTCATGTCTGTTTGCCGAAAATACGGTTAGGAGCATTTGGATTACCCAGCAGAATAGTTCCATGAGATATATCATAAATTTTCCTCAGCTTTAGAAGAGGCTTTCCAACCAATGTAAAAAGGTGATCACTTAATTTAAGTTAGAATTAGTACCAAATTGCTCACATGCCTTACAAGAAGTACGTCGACAGCATATTTACACTTTGGGGGAACGTGTTGCGAAAGCCTCTGAATTACGTGCTGGATTGACGCGCTCCAAGACGAAGGCCGCGACGCGACCGCTTTCTGTCCGGCAATGTCTATTATGCCGTTTAAGTTCTTCTGGCTCCGGGGTAGGCATATGCATACGCGTTTAAGCAGATACGTTTTTCAAGTTTAAAATGTCGGGACTTGCGTTTTAGCGAACCACTGATGTGTCGAGGCGAAAAATTACGACAGACGGGTTCAGAGAGAACGTCATCGTTGGCGAGGGGAAAAAAAAGTTGCCGCCGTTGACGTCATTGTGACGTCGACAACGAAAAACGGGAACGGAAGGTGAAAAGGGCGCAAAACCGACGTCCGGGAATCCCTCAGACCATCAGATCCACATCCCTGTCTCATCGCGGAATTGTCGAGCTTCGCGTTGACACCGGCTTCAAGACATCATTGAATCGCCGTCCAGGTCAGGGTCATGAACAAACAAATGACGTTCACTAGGAGCACAGGACTTCCTGGAATCCACGCCCCCAACACAGATCGATCTCATCGTTGTTGTTATCGGGGCTAAGTGGGTGAGAGAACTCTTTCTTTCATAATGGAACTGACTGAACTCCTCTGGTAACTAAATGAAGGATTTTACTCTTACGAGACTACGATCGATTTTTGAACGTGAGCCAGAATTTTTGACCAAAAAGGCGTCTTCACATTATTTGAAACAGCCTACTGAAAAATGCTATTCAACAATTTGACAAATTGCAAAATCAAAGCTTGGACCAACAAAAAATAAATGCCACGATTCACCAATTGCCCGCTCAGCAAGGGGGGGGGCGAAGTCAAAATAAACGTCAACCCCAGGGCCCTTTGACAGCGAAGCTGGACCAAACAGATCGGCAGGCTACGGGATCCTCAACTGGAAGATCACTAAGAAACTTACGGCTCTGATTTCCAGAAACGGACATGTGTGATTTATAGCGAGATATGCAATAATAGGGTCCAGGAATAACTACTTGTAGTATTTGTAAGTCACGAACTAAAAGAGAACTTCCAAGAAATAATTATGTTGAAGTAGCAAAAGAGTATTCCCCTCACTGATCTGTCTTAATCCACTTTCTGAGCAACGGAGGACACACTTCCACGCTTCTCCAGAAGACTATCCTAGAAAACGGAAACTCGCAGCACTCAAACCCGGTCGATTATTGTGAGAATGGGTATCATCAGCTGATTCGACGAAAAACTCAATTAGTCTCTCCCAGCCGCAGTTGTCTTCAAGCGATCTCAGCATGTTTACTACAGTCTCCCAAACTCCCACGTCCCCTCAGAAGCCGGTCGTCCCCACGCCTCGACCCTCGACCCCCCATATCGCCTCGCGGCCCTCCACGCCCAGCTGTACCGGGCGACTCGTCAGCCGCGACGCAACCGCCTCGCAACGAGAGACCCTTTTCCGCTTTCGCGGCTGCCCAGCGATAACGGGCAGAACGTGCTAAGCGGGCTGCCAAGCAGTAGACAGCGGTGGGCAATCGCGGAGAAGGCCGAGAAAATCCTTGGCAATTTGTCAGCGATCGATAGCCGAATTTTCACTCTGCATTTTAGTCGATATTTGGGTTCACGACCGGTTCATGGGTTCGACAACCATGCTCTGCTTTGTTTTTTTCACAATGTTTCTCGAGACCAACTCCCTTGATCCCCGTGCTATATCTTAGCTATCTTTAGTGGTTTAGAACGCTCCTCTGTGAGTTCACATGCGGTATTCGCATTAGAAAGCCTGCATAAGTGTGTTCGTCCTATTTTAGTTATGTCATTCCTGATTTGAGGGTTTCTGGCCTTACACTACATCATAGCTGCAATTAAGTCAGGCAAACAAGTGCCCAGTATGTCTTTTGTTATGAAGTTTATCCTCATGACGTTTACACTATGGAATAACGTTGGGAAACTATGCCATTTCCCACACGGTTAGAGGTCATCGCTCTGGAAATTTCGGTTAGGATGAGAGATGCCTTAACATTTTTGCGCTAACACTTTTTGGTATATCCATCATTGGTTCTAGAC